AGTGGTCAAGGGCCGAGCCAGGCCCAGACCTCGTCCCGGAGCAACGCAGCCCGCTCACCCTCTCTGCTTCCCACAGGAGGCCCAGTCCAGGGAGGGAGGACCCTGAGCTCTAATTACATGTCCTGGAAAGAAATCCCAGTTTAATTTGAAGTAAAATGAGAAGCTGTGGTTGGAAATGTCCCTGGAGGAGCCACCTGCCTGAGCTAGGACACGTGTCTCTCTGTCCCCCAGGACCAGGAAGGAAAGCACCATGACAGGGGCAGGGATTCTCAGGGTGTGGGCACTCTGGGCTCTGTCAGCCGGCAGACGTGCCCGGGGTCTGAGGAGACCCTTCTCCTGCCCCTGCTCTGACTGCCAGCTGGAATCAACCCCTCAGGACCAAAAGGTGGGGCGGGAGCTTCAAAGAGGGATTGTGAGGAAAGAGGCAGTGACATGGCGACAGCATCAGGGAGTCAGACGCACGGGGTCAGTTACAGGTGAGCTGGGGACACGGGCGCCTCACTAGGGAGATGCCAGAGGGTTTCCTGTGGGCAGTCTACAAACCAGTGCTCCCTCCAACTCCTCCCCAGTGCAAGGCCCCATCATATCCACCTGGGTTACGGTCCCCTACGTCAGCCCCGAACCAGGTTCCAGCCCCTGCACTCTGCCCTCCAGCAGCCCCCACAGCCTCCCGCATCTTCACCCTCCACTCCCCTCCCAGGCTCTCCAAGACCCACCTCCCCTCCCACCTGCTCCTCTGCTCAAGGCGCTTCTCAGGGACCTTCCTGACTCCTAAGAAAGTACAAACTTCACCCTCCACCCACCCTGGCTATCTGCCCACTGCTGCACTTCACTGCCCTACATGACACGTGTTGTCTGTTCACGGTCTCCCCCAGGAGGAGGCAGCCTCCTTGCTCACCACCGTGTCCCCAGCAACTAGAGCATTTGACGAATACCTTCCAAGCGAATGACGGCATGGGCGGCCAGGCAGTCACTGAGTAAAGGAGGGAAGGTGAGTAGAGAGGGAAGCTAAGGAAGAGGGGGGACTGGATGTGGGCAGAGGGAGCTCTTCCTTCCGCCCTCCCTTCCATACAGTCTCCCACCCGACTCCCCACCCCTCTGCCCCCACCTCCTCTGCCCCCTCATCCCATCCCCTGTCCTCGCACATCAGCCTCTAACCCTTCCACACCACACCTCAGCTCGCGTGCTTGCTCCCTACTTCACCGGAAACACAACAGTCCAAGGACCTCTGCACCAGCCCTGCTTCCTCACCCGCCAGCCCAAGTGCACTCTCAGCTCCTCCCCCGCTTCCCGCTGACATCAGCAGACACGGACTCCCAACATTCTGGATTCCACGTTCCCTCATCACCCAGAACATCTCTCCAGCACATGCGGCCTACGTTCTCTGTGAGTCCTTGCCTTCTGGACTACACACAGGCCGGAGGCTCGAGCCCAACCTTTCATCTCCCTCCTGCCGCTACCTCACTTCTCTGCCTTGCTGTGCTGCAAAATTCTGAAAAGAAGAGCTGCCCAAAGGTGCTCACCATGAACCCCTCCTCCATTCCTGCGGGAGACTTTCCCGGCAAGCTCTTGTCAAGACCCGACCACGTCCAGGTTGCTGAATACCGTACTCAACTGTGCAACCTCTTCTTGCTTCTGCTCCGGAAGAGCTCTTCCTTCCTGAAACACCATCCACTTTCCTCTGGGTTCCCCACCCACCTCGCTGGCCAGTCCCAACCTACAAACTCAGGTCTCTGGGCTCAGCTATGGGCAGCTTCCCCAGGGAGCCTGTCTATTCTTGGGCTCTGAAGACCATCGATACACCTGTGTCCTCCACTGACACCTCCAGCCTCAGCCTCCCCAAATATGTAGATGGCTCGCCCCTCATGTCCTTCCAAACTCACCTTAACACTGAGGGTTTCTCCACGCATCCTACACAGAGCAGCAGCATCCTGGCCCACACTCTGCCCTCCTTACTCCCTTCTCAGTGTGGGAAGTCGAAGCAAGGCGTTTCCATTTACAGAGTGATCTTCATGGCACACCTTCCCCCAGGCACTGGGATGCAGCCATGAAGAACCTACCCTTGCCAAGCATATGTCCAGGGGCAGGAGCGGTGGGGGGCACACTAAACATCACACGTAATGAAGTATAATGTTCTAGGAGACCTGTCTATACCAAGACGAAATAGAGCAGGGCTGGGGATACGGCCACAGAGCAGGGGATCAGTGGTCTTGTTCACTCCTGTGTCCTCAGCACCTGGCAGAGGCTCCGCAGATTTTGAATGAATGAGCAATTAACAAGTGATGATTAGCAGAGGGAGCATCAGAAGAGTCACCCCAAGTGGCAGATGCATGGACGAGAGGGCAGATGGAGGCAGGAAAGCCCCTCAGCTCATCCCTGTGGAGCTAGGACGAGGTGCTGTGCTCCCTACTGCTAGGGGTGGACCCAGGCTTGAGGACAGGGGGTGCCCTGAGGCAGGGGTGGGGACCCCATTCCACCCGTCTCCTCTCAGGACCTGCACACCAGCCTCAGAAGCAGAAGGGACCCCAGAAGGCCTCTAGGGGCAAATCGGGCTCCACCAAGCAACGTGGCCTCCCCAGCCAGAGCCCTTACCCTCCCCACCATGGGCCTCCAAGCCCTCTGAGCCCCAATTAAGTAAACCCTAATTAAAAACAACAAAGTAATGAGAAGTAATGCCCCTCCCATGGCTACCCACAGGGACCTCAGCTCAGGAGGGGTTGGGTTAGAGCACCTCCCTGGCTTCCCCACTGGCTAGCATTCACACCAAAACCACCTGGGGCCTGCTTCTACCACACACCCACATGCACACACACCCAGGCTCACAAGCCCCCGTGAGCCACAAGCAGGAGCACCTGAGCGGATTCCCTGCACAACTCTGGGCCGACGTGTGAGTCCCTAGAGGACACAGGTCGCCCTCCCCACCCGAGCCACCTCTGGCAGTGATGTACAGACAGAGGGAGCCTGGAAACCACCAGTGCCAACTCCCAGCCCTCCTTCTGCAGAGGCAGAGAGCAGAGACTCTGCAACCCTAACAAACCAAAGCGAGAAAGAGAACAAGGAAGAATGGGAGAGAGGAAGCAAAGAGACACAGAGAAACAAAGGCATCGAGAAGGAAAGAAATAGTGATAGAGAAGGCAAAGAAGACAGAAAAGGGCAGAAAGGCAGAGAAGATTAGTTATATAGAGACAAGTACCACAAAAGTAAGAGAAGGAAAGAAAGAGAGACAGAGACCCAGAACGACCGAGGTGGGGGCAGGGAGTGAGTGCAGGGAGAGAAGTACACATGAAGAAAAAGAAGCAAGGAAAGATGAGAGAGAGGCAGGGGTAGAAACAGAGCACGAAAAAAGAGATGGACAAAGGCAGGGATCTCCAAGGCTGGGGTCAGGGGCCAGAATTAAGGCCTCAGGACGCTTGGGACCCTCTCACTAGCGCTCCCAGGAAGGGGAGCCCATCCTCCTCTGTCTTGTGCCCTCCCCTCGAGAAGTTCTCCCAGCCCTCACTGAGGCACCAGCTCCCTGGACCTGAAATCAGCACAAGCTTATCACGTATCAGAAGACCAGGGGTAGGGGTCCTGTCAAGGAGTAGGCGGGGGCTCCTCTGCCTCCCTGCCTTGTGCCCAGAAACTCAGCACCATGGACAGCATCACCCATGGATGCGCGCCACCCAGAGGGCTCCCCGCACAGAGCACCGCCGTTTCATAACCCATTAAATTCAGCAGACACTCTGACCTCTCCTGGGGGCCCGCCCCAAGCTAGGCTCTGGGGACACCCTGACAAATAAGACACTGATCTTGTCCTCAGGGACTCCTGTCTAGAGGGAGGGAGCGATGTAAACAGCCAGCGATGCTCCTGGACACCCCACACAGTGCCCAGTGGAGCATGGGGAGCGCCCCACCCTCTGAGGGGCCACACTCACCACGAGCACCCCCACCAGCATCATCAGTGGAACAAGAGTCTTGCTCGGTAGCCCAGAGACTATTTAGCCAAGTCCATGTCTTCTTACACACAGGGAGCCCGTGGAGGCTTGAGCCCCAGGCCTGGGGCTTCCACGGTCACCTCCTTCCTCCTCTGCACATGCGGTCACCTGCACCGAGGCAGGTCAGGGGTCGTTGGGCAGGGTGGCCACAATCACCCCTCCTTGGGAAGGAGTGTTCTGGGCAACAGTGGGGCCTGCCTCCTCCTCTCTGATTGGGGCCCTGAGCCTCTCTGGGACCACAAGGCCCCAGAGAAGAGACTGCAGTCCCTAGCCTGGGGCGGGGCCTCTGGGGCCTGGGCTGTGCAAACAGGTCCTGTGGAGCAAATTCCCCAAGTACTCACCCACCCCACTCCCAGAGCAGCTCAGCTCCAGCCATCAGTCCTCTGGCCAGAGAAGCAGGGCAAGGGCTCTAAAGTATCGTCAGGCAGTCGGAAAGACTGAGACCCCTCAGGGGAGGGGCTCAGCGACGACGGGCTGGATGCTCTGCCTGCACACCCACCCCAGCCCACCCCCAAGTCAATGTGGAGATTTCCTGCGTTGTTTTTGGAATCACACATTGTTAATTACCAGGGTCCATTTGAGGAGGACAGTGTGGGAAGGACACACTGATTAAGCACCTTTCTGGAGCCATAAACCATGGAAACACTTAACGTTCACAAGCTCATCCAAGCACAGCATCAGCGCCCTGAGAACGCACTTCCAGGCAGCTCTTCAAGCAGGAAACTGCTCAAGCCACAGGCTGTGGAGCCCAGAGCCCTTCCCCTGCCCTGGGAAGCCACCCCCCAACAGTGGCCCAGCCACAGAGCCAGTGGCCCCATGCCCGTGGTCTGCAGAAGAACTCCACCTGAGGACAGAACGCTGCAAGCAGGCCCTTCAGCAAAGACTGCCACTCACGGGCAACAACCCCGTCCCACACAATCAGGCATTTCCTCACATGATCACCCACACCCACAACGGCCCGGTGTGGACCCTGCTGCCCAGCCCCCAGCCCCCAGCAAGGGCACAGCCCGGGCTCTGGCCGCCTACCCTGTGAGAACCACCACAAAGTCCATGACGTTCCAGCCGTTCCGCAAGTAGGAGCCCTTGTGGAAGACAAAGCCCAGAGCTATGATCTTGATCCCCGCCTCAAAGCAAAAGATGCCGATGAAGTAGGGCTCCGTGTCGTCCTGTGGAGAAGCAGAGAAAGGGTCGCCACCAACCCCAAGTTGAGCAGCCCGGGGCAGCAGGCGGGGACACTGTCCCAGCTCTGACCCCCCACTTGGCCACACCACCTACAGACTTCACAGGAAATGTGGCCCTGTTCCCACAGCCAGCGACACCCCAGCCACAACAGCGAGGGGCCTCCCACCCCTCGAAGCCCTGCAGCAGGAGAAGCTGTTCTGACAACACCTGCAGGCCTTTCCTGCAGCCCATCCCACGCCCCGCGCATTAAGTGTATCATCATCCTGGTTCTAAAGGAAACGGGCCCAGGCATCAAGGAACTGGGCTGGAGACTCCCAGCTTGTTGGAAACCAAGCCATATTCAGACCCAGGGGTGACCCGGCATGATCCTGGGCTCCAATCGCTGCAGGGGTTGCCTGGATAATGCCCCAACTCCTAGAGTGCAGCTCAGGACCTGCTTATTCATTCAACACACATCTTCTGGAGAATCATAACATGCAAATGCAAATCTCGGTGGGGGCAAATATGGCCCAGACCTCAGAGAGCCTCTGGAGAGTAAGACAGACAGGCAGCAAGCAAGGAAAGGAATTCCAGGTGGAGGAACAGTGGGAGCAAAAGAATGCTGTCACTGCATCTTGTCACTCAGCCTCGAGCACCAACTGGGGCCAGGCCTGACTGGTGCTGAGCAAGGTGGGGAGCAAGCTGTACAGGGCTCGGGGCGGGGGGGGGGGGGAGGACGTCACACGGAGACATGCACAGATGGTGTGGTAAGTGACCAGGGGCATTGCTCACTTGGGGACAGTGGCACAGAGAGCCTTGGGGCAGGTGAGCCCCAGGGAACTGGACCACAGAGGTGCACCGGGAAGGTCGGCATGGGGAATGGCCTGAGCGCAGACCAAGGACACCTGTACGCCAGGGCTGCTCTTATAAAAAGCAGAGGAAGGAGTGGTGGGAAGGCCCTGCCCTCAGGGAGCCGCAGGAAGAACTGCCCTGCAGAAAGGGGCTCTGCCCTGCCTGAGAGGGGCCAGGGTTGCAGGGCCCCGGGGACTGGCTGCCTGGGGGCTGCAGGGAAGGAGAGGGCCAGGCTGGCACCCCGTGGCTGCTGTCAGTTCCCACTGAGGGCCAGCAGCCTCTGTCTCCGCTCGCCACACACAGGAAGCCTGGGCCTCAAGCGTTCTCCCCATCTGACTGGGAAAACCCTCAGCCTGGCTGTGCCTGGCAGGAGCTACCTCCCCCAGGGGCCCCGTCAGCCCCGTGCCCATCACGGCCCAGCTCTCCCATCTTGTTACCCAGATGCTGACTCATGACAGAAATCATCCTCTGAAAGCTTTAGGTCTAGTTTAGTTGAAGGATCCTCTCTCCCCCAAATGAAGGGGCAGCTGACCATCTGTCCCAGAAAAGACTCTGGCTCCAAAAAACTCGTCTTCACAGAGAGCTTCCAGACAGATGAAAGAGCAAGCCTGAGCTGGGAGATGGGGCAGGGCCTGCCCCAGATCCCTCTCTTCAGGGAAGGCTCGGGAGGGGTGAGGTGGGACTGCAAGCTAGAGGTTCTGGCCAAAGACCACTCAGGAAGTTGGTGAGTGGCCAAGAAGCAGAACCCCAAGAGACAGAGAGCTATGAAGGCCCCATCCCACTCCAGGCTGGCAAACAATGCAGAAGCTGCCCCTTCATCACCCAGCCCCCTACGTGTCCTCGGCATCAGCACAAGCCTCCAGGCCTGAGGCCTGAAGCCGCCGCAGCCCCTCCTCTCCAGGCCCCAGTCTGTGTTCCAGCCCTCTATCCATCCTAAGGGCCTGAAGGCCTGTGTCTACACACAGGACTAGGGCCAGCAAGGGCTCCCCAGGCCTCCAGGCACATTCTGCTTGTTCTCCCAACAGCCTAACTCCATTACCCCAAAGCAAATCTTCCCTCACTTGGGAGGCAGCAGCTCACACTTGCCTGGATGCCCCGCTGGCCCACTCAAGCCTGTCACCCAGCAGGACAAGCCTGAGCCCAATTACCGTGCACTGGCCTCCCTGCCCCCTACCCCCCACCGTCTCTTGGCCCGCCTCCCTCTGGCCCTACCCCTGCCAGACTTCCCTGGAGACACGGCCGCGCCCTGTGGCCTGGCAGAGGCTCTCTGCTCTCACTTCCACCCTCTGCTCTAGCCTCCAGAACACCCACTCAGCACAAGCACAAACACCGGCATGCCCAAGGGGGCCACGGGAGGCAAGTGACCCTGCCTGGTTCCAGTTGGGGCAGGACTCCCCCACAGGGACCACACCCACTCTTGCCTGGTGGCATGGCTGGGCTGTCCTTCATACCCCTCCGCTCTCACAACCAAAACCCCCTGGCCTTCTGAGTCTGCAGAAATGACTGCTCCAGGAAACCTCTCACCTGCTGGCTGTCCACCTCCTTGCCTTCTTTTGATGCCTTGCAAAACTGAGTACCCCCAGGTCAGTCTTACTCTGTCTCCCCTTCCCCACCTCTGGGCCTGTGATGGTGATGGTGGGGAGTGGGGGTTCAGGGCCCACACTAAGCACCGAACAGGCCCTGTATCACCTCCCGTCTATATCCACTGACGTCAGAGAAAGAAGCTACGGAGAGTTTCAATCACTTGTCAGGGTGCAAAGAAAGAGGGATTCTCCTCTTGATGCCCCGTGCCCCCTGGAGAGGCTGGACTGTCTCTCAGAGACCTTGGACCCCCGGCAGCTCTCCAGCCAGGCCCCAGGTTCGCTCTCCAGACCCTTGCAACCTGTTCCTCTTTCTCTCTGTTCTGAGGCTCAGTCTCTCAGGCCTGGGAGAGACCTTGCCACACCAAGCCCAGGCAAAGGGATCAGGACAGCAGGAAAGACTAGGGGCCAGAGGGCACAGCCACACCTTTGAAATGGGACCCGCTTCTCCAAATGTCACCTTTCCTCTACCCCAGCCCCTCCAGAGACCCTGCCCTGGCATCCTGACTCTCACGCGCTTCAACAGGGGACACCCCAGGGATCTGTGCAGCTCTGGCCAGGAGTGGGTGAGAACGATTTAGGATGTTTGGGAAGAAAGCCTGGGAAGGAGGGCTTCCCCTGGGTAGAGGTGGCCCCATGAGAAGAGAGTGCAAGCAGAGCCAGGAAAGACAACTCTGAGGGAGAAACGGACAGCCCCTAGACCCAGGACCATACCACAGGGACCGCCACAGCCCTGCGGGGGAGGGTGGGCACCCAGCCCACCCACCACGAAGGTGCTAACAGAGCCTAGCATTCCTGACCCTGGGCCACTATGAATGCCACTTCCCCGCCCTAGGTTTCACTTAGTTTCTTAGATCAAGGCTTAAGACTGTGGAACTGGACAGCCTTGCTAGGGGGGGGGGGGGGGGGGGGGGGGGGGGGGGGGGGGGGGCTAGCGGCACGAGGCAGGGGAGCTGTTAGCTAACGTGGCCTCTCTCGGGGCGCCCTTCCCATCAGGGACTGAGCTGGCGACCCCAGTCCGCCTGGTCCTGACGGAGGTGTCGGCTGCCCGGTTCTAACCTCTTCCTCCGCTACAGGCAGGAGGGCTACCTAGGTCGCCCCGCCCCCGGAAGCCAAGCTCAGCCACAGACCCCGACGGGCCCTGGAATGCGACGAGCCGCCGCCACGCGCGCCCCGCCCTCGGCCCCACCGCGCTCACCAGCCGCTCGGACATGGGCGTCTTGTCGCCGTCAGGCAAGTGCTGCTCCAGCGCCAGCACAATACAGTTGGCGATGATGGTGGCCAGGATCATGTATTCGAACGGCGTGCGTGGGTTAAGGACAGGCCAGGAGGTGCCGAGGGGGAGGGAGGCGAGGAGGCCGAGGCCCACAGCGCGCGGTGCAGTAGCCGCGGCGAGACCGCCTCCGGGGGGCTCAGAACGACCGGTCAGAAGCCCACCCTCCCCTCTTGGCCCGCATCCTCAGGGGCTGCCTGGAGGCGGAGCCTCTGCGGTCCCGGCCTCCAGCCCCCCCCCCCCCCCCCCCGCCCGTCCAGACGCTCGTCAGCACCGCGGACTCCCCTCTTGGCCCGCATCCTCAGGGGCTGCCTGGAGGCGGAGCCTCTGCGGTCCTGGCCTCCAGCCCCCCCCCCCCCGCCCGTCCAGACGCTCGTCAGCACCGCGGACAGCGCCCCCGTCCCGCGCGAGGCCGGGGAAGGGTGCTGCGCAGGCGCACACGCTCACCCACAGGCACACGTAGCCACATGCACCTACCCAGGCGCTCGAACATACATGTGCCGAGAGTCCCGCACGCACGCACGCGCAACACCGGGCTCACGCTCTGCCCTCACACACACGCAAGCACCTGCAGCCAGGCACGCGCCCGGGCTCGCGTCCACACGGGTGCTCACACCTACACGAACACGGATTCGCCCTCGTGTGCCCTCCAGGCTGGCCGCGCGCTCTGCACCCAGACCAGGGGTGTGAAGGGACGAGTCCAGGGAGAGGGGGCTCCGCCCAGCGTCCGTCCCGCAGCCGCCACTACCACGACCACACGCGCGCGCGCGCGCACACCCTCAAACACACACGCACTCGCGGCGCGCGGAGGCCCCCGGAGCCCCGCCCCGCCCCCTCCTCGCCGAGAGCGGCGGCCCCATCCGCCGCTCCCCAGGTCGCACCCTCCTCCCGACCCCGGGAAAGATGGCCACTGGGCGCTGCGCGCGACCCGCCCCGGCCCCGGCCCCGGCCCTCCGCCCAGGCCGTTCCTCCCAGGCGCGCCGGGTCGCGGACACCGGACGCCGCGCCCGGTCCCAGTCCCCGCGACCTCGGACGGTCCCCCGGCCCCCGCGCGGCCAGGGCCCCCGGCAGGATATGGCCACTCCGTGATGCGCTTGGCGTATTTGCGAACGACGTTGTCCTCGCTGAAGACGAAGAGCGAGCGGTTGACGGTGAAGCAGTTCTGCTTGACCGGGATGGGGTTGTACAGCGCCATGGTCCGCGCGCGCTGCGCGATCGACTGCTTGTAGACGACCCGCTGGCCCGGCTGCAGCCCCCCGGGGCCCGGGACGCCCGCCCCGCCGGCCCCGCCGCCCCGAGCCCGCTCCCCACCGGCGCCCCCATAGCGGCTGCCCAGCTCGTCCCCGAAGCGGACCATGGCTCCCGGGCGCCGAGCGCATCCCCCGGCCCGGCGGCCCCGGCAGGGAGGGCGCGGGGCGCGCCGGCCAGGCGCTCGGAGCGGAGCAGCAGCGGAGCCGCGGGACCCGCACCGGACCTCGCCCGGCCCCGCCGCCGCCGCCGCACCCGACTCCGCCGCCCGCGCCACGCCCTATAAGGGGGCGGTCACGTGGCGGCGCCTGGCCAATCCGCGCTCGCCCCGCCCGTCCGGATGCCGCCCGCCCCGCCCCCAGTTGGCCGCCCCCGCCCTGTCCCCCGCGGCCGGTCGGGGCCGCCAGCCTTCTGGGCTGCGCCCCGGCGCCCGGGCCTCCCGGATGAGCCCGCGGCGGGGGCGGGGCGGGCGCGGGGGTCCGGCGCCCTCTGCTCCCGCCGCCCCTCGCGGGGCCGGGCGCTGGCCAGGTGCCGAGGCGGGAGCTGCGGCCGGGAAGCCGGGTGGGGCCGGGCGTCCTCGACAGACGGCCGGGGCTGAGCGGCCCCAGCGGACCCCTTCTTCTCCCCCAGGAGCGGGAGGCGTCACCTACCGTGAGGAGCCCCAGCCCAAACCGCGGCGGGTTAGGCCCCCTGGCTCCCCTGGTCTCTTTCCGCACCTCACTCCCCCCGCGGGCACCACCGGCCCCCTCCAAGAAGATGCTGGTTCCCGCCCCCCCCCCCCTTTCGGAGTCTGACATCCTGACGGATGTCAACTCCCTGCTCTCAGGTTTTCAGGGTGCGCAACTCTGTCCTGGGGCCCCTCAGCCCTCGAACGTTTCCTAGGCCTTCCTGTCAACACGCGTTGAATCCGTTCTGAAATCTCAGTTCAGAGACCCTTTGTTCCACCCGATGAAAACGAAAGAGAGGCTGCCGCGTGCTCTTCGGGGGCCAGCGACCCGGCCGCACACCTGCCGGGCGCAGGGCCCCAGCTCTGCCTTCCTGCAGCTCACGTTCTCCTACGAGGAGTGGCAAACGCTTGCTTGGTGCCACACACTGTTCTACTCCATTTACACACGAGTTGTTCATTCGGTCCTCACAACATGCAGATAAGAAGCCTCAGTCCTGGTGAGCGGCAGAGGGGATAAGGCAAGTGTTGGACCCTGTCCCCTTCGCCAGCACAGGAGGGCCAATCAACGCCGCACGGTGGGTGCTGTGAGAACAGAACGAGGCAACGAGATGGCAAGCGACAGTGGAAGACGCTTTTCTACCCCCACGTCAGGGACGACCTCTGTCGGGAAATCACCCTCGTGCGGACCTGAATGCTGTCGAGAAGTGAGATGTGCCGGGCGAGGCGAGGACAGAGCACAGGGGCCCAGGGTGGCAACCTCGGAGCTGTGCTGATGGATGTGGGCTCCGGCTTCCGTTCCCAGTGTAATGGGACATCCGAGAAGCGTTCTGAGGAGAGAGGCCATCATGACTCCTGTTCTGAAAAATCCCTCTGGCTGCTGAGTGGGGGACAGACTGCAGAGGTTGGGGTGTGTGTTGCCCAGGACGCATTCAGAGGTACGCAGCTCAAGTCCCAGCTGTGGCTTACACAGTACAGTTTTAGCCTTGCTGAATAAAAAGGCATAAAGTATGCCATTTCAGGAACACAAACTCTTTCCATCCTTTCCTCCCTCCCATGGTTGCAGTGTACAGCTTTTGTCTTCGTTCTTCTTATGGCCCAAGGTGGCTGCCATGGCACAAGGCATCCCATCTTTATATCACCATCTCAAATGAAGAAAGAGAAAGGTGTAAAAAGGACATCCATTTTTTAAATTTTTTTGTTTTATTTATTTCTGAGAGAGAGAGGCAGCATGAGCAGGGGAGGGTCCGAGAGAGAGGGAGACGCAGAATCCGAAACAGGCTCCAGGCTCCGAGCTGGCAGTCAGCACAGAGCCCGACGCGGGGCTCGAACCCACGAGCCGCGAGATCATGACCTAAGCGAAAGTCGGCCGCTTAACCGACTGAGTCACCCAGGTGCCCCAAGAACATCCATTTTTTAAAAATAAACAAATGGAGGGGTGCCTGGGTGGCTCAGTTGGTGAAGTGTCCGACTTCAGCTCAGGTCATGATCTCACGGTCCGTGGGTTCGAGCCCCACATCGGGCTCTGTGCTGACAGCCAGCTCGGAGCCTGGAGCCTGCTTCGGATTCTGTGTCTCCCTCTCTCTCTGACCCTCCCCTGCTCATGCTGTCTCTATCTCTCTCTCAAAAATAAATAAAATATTAAAAAATAAAATAAAATAAACAAATGGAGGCGACTGGGTGGCTTAGTCAGTTGAGCATCCAATTCTTGATTTCGCCTCAAATCATGATCCCAGGGTTGTGGGATCAAGACCCACATCAGGCACCATGCCAAGTGGGGAGGCTGCTTGAGATTCTCTCTCCCTCTTTCTCTCTCTCTCGCTTTCTCTCTAAAACAAAAACATATCCTTTTATAACAAAGGAAATGTTTCTCAGCAGCTCCCCAGCAAATTCCTCTTTAAATTCTATTGGGCAGGGGAGCCTGGGAGGCTCAGTGAGTTAAGCATCTTGACTCTTGATTTCAGCACAGTTCATGAGATGGAGGCCCATGTCAGCTCTGGACTAACGGAGCGTGCTTGGGATTCTCTCACTCTCTGCCCCTCCCCCACTCATTTTTTGTCTCTCTCAAAATAAATAAACTTGTTTAAAAAATCAGAGGGACACCTGGGTTGGTTAAGTGTCCAACTCTTGGTTTCAGCTTAGGCCATGATCTCACAGTTCATGGGATGCAGCCCCACATCAGGCTCTGCACTGTGCATGGAGCCTGCTTGGGATTTTCTCTCTCTGCCCCTCCCCTGCTCGTGCTCGCTCTCTCTCTCTCTCTCTCTCTCTCTCAAAATAAAGAAACACAGGGGCGCTGAGTGGCTCAGTCGGTTAAGCATCCAACTTCCGCTCATGTCATGATCTCGCAGTTCATGGGTTTGAGCCCCACGTCCGGCTCTGTGCTGACAGCTCAGAGCCTGGAGCCTGTTTCGGATTCTGTGTCTCCCTCTCTCTCGGACCCTCCCCTGCTCATGCTGTCTCTCAGAAAAGAATAAATAAATAAAAATAAAGAAGCATTAAAAATAAACTCTACTGGGTAGATGTGGACCATGTACCAAGGGGGTGGGGAAGTGAACGCATGGCAAAGAGGACCAGCGCTGACATTCCCCACCAAGGTGGGCACATGGTGGCCCGAGACATAAACGAGCTTCCCTTGGCTGTGAGGTGAAGGGAAGGCTAGCTGCGGAGGCTGCAGGAGTCCTGTCACTGAGCGCAACCGGGCGGCCATCAGGGGTTTTGACAGCGGTCCAAAGGAGAGCTGGGGTGGTCTGGATGAGAAGCACCGCGCTCGGCTGTTCTGTCGCGCCGCTGACCGAATGGCTGATGTGTTGGTCGTAAGACGTGAGGGGACGTGAGCGGTGGGGGCTCTCAGTGTCGACCTAAGTGACTGTTGACTGTACCCATCACGGAATCTGGGAAATGAGGGGTGGACATTAGGAAATAATTTTGTATTTGACATAAAAGTGGAGATGCTGAGTAGATATTGCAGGGGGTGCGCACATGGCAGGTGACAGCTGCAGACACAGATCTGGAAGCCCCTTAACTACTGTGTGTCTGCCCCTCCCATTGCCGCTGCCCTGCCCCGGTCTGCCCTGTGCCGTGTGCTGGCTCTGTAGACTGCACCAGCTCACTCTCTCGACCTCCCACTCTCGGTGGTACTTGGCTGGTGGGGAGCAAGGTCAAGGCCTGTATTCCCCCAGCTCCCTCCTACTGGCTCACCTGGGGTTGGCCATCAGCCTCAACCGAAGGTCCCAGCTCCTGCCTTCCTCTTCCGGTGACCACAGCCCCTCCTTGCTGCCGCAAGCGGGGGAGTGGTGCCCGGGCCCAATTATTAGTCCTCCCCCCAAGGTTTTGTTAGACCCCCCGCAAGTCACAGTAGACAGTCCTCTTGAGGGTGGCATCCTGGCAGAGCACTGCCTGAATCAGAAGTCATCACTGAGGGAACAAGCACACAGAGAGAAGAGAGCCCTGGGGGAGGGCAGGGAAATCAGAAAGTATCAAGTCGTGGAAAAGGGGCCTGAGAAGGAGCAGTCAGGGAATGTAGGGAGGGAAGGATCAGGAGAGTAGAGTTTCCAGGGCCATGGGACGAGCATGTGTCAAGAGAGAGGTTACAGTCATCTGGCAAATTCTGCTGAGCAATCCAGAGAGACGAAGGACAACACTCAATCATCAGCGAGACAGAGGAACCTGTTACCCTGATAAAAGCAGTTTCCATAGAAGAGTAAGAAACAGCCTGAGTGGAATGGATTAAACGGATGACTCAGGAGGAACGGCGCACAGCAAGGGAACACACCTGGTGCAGCCAGGTTTTCTACAAATGGGAACGGAGACCTGGAACCGGACAGCTAACGGAGGCGTGGCCTTTAAGGAGTTAGTGTTTCTTTCAAGATGGGGACGTTACCGGACTTTATATGCACTTGAAATTACCCGATAGGAAGGACAACGCTGGTGCGGGGAAGGTGTGTTGCCCAGTCCAGGCAAGAGTGCAGGACTTGGGCGTGTTCACTGGGAAAAGAGACCGCACGGCTAAAGGCACACGTGGGTTGCTAGGTTAACTGGGTGGAGGATGAGGACTGGCTTCCGATTGCTCTACTTTCTCAGTGAATTAAGAAATAAGATAATCCACAGAGAGTGAGAAGGGGTGTTGCAGGTGGAAAGGAGGAGCAGGTTAAAAACTTCCTCCAGAAAAAGAGGGTTCACTGGGAAAGGGGGTGGGGCAGGCAGTCCTGAGGCCGAGTGGGATGCAGGGGGGGCGTCATCGGGAGGGAGGACATCGGACCAGGAGGCTGGAGCCCGTTACCCCTTGATGACACTACTCTTCCTCCCCGGGCCTTCCCCCCACCCTGACCTCAGTGTTTCCGACCCCCAAGCCCCTCTTTTCCTGGCCCTTTCTTCCTCCCTGGTCCTTCGCCCTCCATCCTACTCACTGGCAAAATGCCCCGCCTTGAACCTCCAGGGGTGCC